ATCCACGAACGCGAACATATGCACAAAATTTACACATTCACGCATGCACATACACACTTAGACATACACACATAGACTCTCAAATCACACAAGCAAACGCATACACACACACACACACACATACACACACACACACACACACACACACACACGCACACACCTACAAGCACACACACACACACAATTCTAAATACACCACCATGATTACAAGAAAAGCTAACAGAACAAAACTTAACAAGGGAGAATCTTCGTGGGAGACTAAACTATTAAAATTTCGTAAAACAAAGGAAGATCCAATAAGACGAAAAGGGAAATAATATGCAAGTAAAAGACAGTAGTTGTAACTCAATCAAAGAACACAAATCGGGAATTGTTGTAGTGTACCTCTAGCAGGCTCTGCTACTACTTCTTTCCTTTTTCGTTCTATCTATCCGCCTGGCTTTTTCCCCGGCACTAAATCGCTGAATTAATGACCGTTATTGTTTCGACGTGTTTCTATGAACTCAAAGTAGACTAAACCAAGAGCTAATCACTTTCCTCGGCTATAACTATACAGGGCTTTATAGCGGAGTGCACAAAGCAACTGGTTGTATGTAGAATGCTTTAGAGACTCTAGCGGCTTCACGCTGCTTCATCGTGAGACAAAGAAAGTCCCCACATGCAATCAATGGCAATTATCCTGTCTGGCAGCCTCTTATAGATTGAATAAAGAAATTATCTTAAGAAAAACAAAGTGGTCGTTGAAATAGAGTGGGAGTTGGAATGACGATTAAAGTGGGGGTGGTTTGCTCAATATGAGTCATTCATGCGACCTGATACAAAATCATTCAGAGTCGCTGAATCTGAAGTATAACCCTTAAGTCTGAAGGGCTCAGGTGGTTGTTTAGCAAAATCCAAGTCATTACGCTGGCGGAGAACTCTACTTCTTGCAAGGGCTGTTGTGTGAGATGAAGGTAATGCCTCAGAGCCAGGAGAAATTTCAAAGTTCGCTCGGGTTCCAAATTAAACGAAAAAAAAAATTCAATAAGATTTTATGTGGGCCAAGTTTGCATTCAGTCGTGTACAACTAGGGCTGGAGATCAGTAAATCGCTTCCTCAGAATTACCAAGTTCTATCTGCTCAATATCTAGTTTCCGAGAAATTTTAGATTAGAAAAATTTAGTTTCACTTGTCAAGCTTTTGTCGAGTGCAATTCTTTGAATATCTTGATAACGACTCCGAATAATCTTACGATTTTGATAGAGAAGATAGAACATTTGGTTTATGATCTCCTGGTCTCAGTAACTCAAAGCGATAAAACTAAAGTCTGATAGAACTTAATAATTCTAAGGCAGTGTGTTGACAACCAGAAAAATTCATGGCATCTTCTGTATTCTGACCATTTTTTTTAGTGTAGATGTTTTAAGCCCCAAAAGACACAATTTCAGGAGGCGGGCTACAACCCGGCAGACAGGGGCACTCGGGGCTGACAGGGGGATGTAGCGTCCCGGCAAAAAGATGGACAATAATAATAATTTATTATACTCCTTAATAAAAGTCAACTCAACTCTCCTGCGTACGTATGACGGCGAGGTGCCCACTACGGAGTGCCCATTGGGGGATCGACAAACCGATCACCAACCGATCGACAAACCGATCACCAACCGATCGCCCGACTCGGCGCCTGAAAAACGAACGCCTTTGTTTTTGAGACGAGTCGGGTGATCGGTTTGTGTCACGATAGCCGCTTTGCGCCGTCAATCTGGCAAGCAAACCGAACTTTTTTTTTTTTTTTGGTAAGTGTTTTACGGCGCTCGCAACTGCATAAGGTCATATGAGTGCGCGAGGCACACCTAATATTTTCAGTTGGTAGGAAATTTTGAATTTTGCCCAGGTGGTGGCTGAAGCCTACTCTTATCGATTTTAGACCACCAAGGGATGTTTAACGTGCGCAACTTGCACACGGGACCTCCGAGATTTTTCGCCCTTGTCCGAGAAGGCTAGGTGTAGATCTTTCCTACCAGAAGATCAGGGGTGTGGCAGAAAGACAGCAGTAAGGAGGAGCCAAGGAGTAGCAGTAGAAAGGCTGCGGAAAGAGTCAAGAGCCCAGAGGAGGGGGCAAAGGAGGTGAGGGGGTGGGAGCAGAATGTGGAAACGAAAGCAGACAACAGAACATTGCTAGAGAGCTGGAAAGGAGGTGAAAGGAGACAATTTTAGAGAAGAAAATTTTCGGTCGCTACTCGGATTCGAACCCGGGACCTTTGAATGAGAGGCCAACACCTTAACCTCTAGGCCACGAGAGCCCCCGAACTGAACCGATCGTGCCAATGGGCACTGAGTATATAACTACTACACCACAGACGCCGGTTCCGTCACCTGCTGTATGTTTGGACAAGTTGTAAACCATCACTACATTGCAAATTGACACTGTAACTGCTCAAGCCACGAGTCCCTGACTCGATGAAGTGTTCTCATCATATTATTCGACTTTCTGAAAGTTGTAATTTCATGCGCCGCGACTTCTAGATGGGATCGAGAGTTTCTTCTTTAAGTGACATGACACGCGACTGACATTGCGAAGATATCAGCTCCAGAGCAATGTCAAGGATGCTCAAGAAGACGGAGAAATGAAACTGAAAGATAGTAAAGATCAATTGAACACATTACTCATAAATGAAGGAATGTAAGAGAAAAGAATAAGGACGAGTAGACACAGAAGAAGTAAAACATTTCATGGATGAAGTAATAAACAATAAATATAGATAGACAAACAACTTGAAAAAAATATAAAAAAGTAAAGAAACAATGAATGAATGAATGAATGAATGAATGGATGGATGGATGGATGGATGGATGAATGAATGAATGAATGAAGGAATTGATCTATTTGAAACTAAAGGATCATACAGTAAATCAATCAACCATTCAGTTAACGATTATTCAAATGAACGCTGACTTTGATAAATATTACAAGTTAATAAAAATACGAAATCGTAAATAGTTGGGTTGATGATAAATACTTAAAAGAATGAAATGGCGAGAAAAGGACGAAGGAATTAAAAAATATGTCTCTAAGTTGTTGAAGGAAGAACACGATCTGGAGGAGAAAGAAAGCGGAAAGTAAGCATTGTAGAAAACAGAAAGACTGAGGAGGAAAAGAAAACGAATGGTACGAAAAGGAAAGAGCCATACTGAAATCTAAAACAAGGAAAATAAAGTCTGGCAAAAGACTCTTGACCTTACAGGGAAAAGTTACGGAACACACAATTAGATGGAGAAAGAACAAAACAAAGGCAAAGGCAAAATAAAACCCTCCCAAAAAAAAAAAAACCCAACAAAAAAGCTAAAATGAAACCAAAAAAAAGCCAACAAAACATTTTGTATTGGGGTGCCAGGACGAAAATATTTTGATGCA